ATATCCCAAAATACTGAGAGCTGTTTAAAGGGTTTATGAAATTATAATAACAGTACTCTTCTGGGGGAATTGGATGGTCATGGGACTAGTGCACAGTTGTAGGATGGATGTGGGCCATCTCTTAGCTCCCTCTGTGGTGGTATTAGTCAATTCTTAGGAGAAGAAAATCATTGAGTCCCTTTGAGGGTGCAAGGTCTGAGACAGGTGCACCTCATGCTTGGATCACCTGGGACAGGATCAGATGCAGCTTGGAAACAAGAAACCTGGGAAGAGCCAGAATGAGTGCAACCAAGAGTGAGTTCCTGGATCCCCGAGTTCCCCCAGAACCTGCTCACTTCAGGCCCTGGCTCAGGAATGTGCTCCAGGGGAGGAGGTCCTGGAGCATTGATGTTTCTCTCCCTCTCTTTCTCTCTCCCTTCCCTTTTCTAAAAATAAATGTAAAAAATTAAAAAGACTATGTGCTTTCTTAAGGGTGGTTGTGCCTTCGAGGAATATTTTTTTCTGAAAGGTATGTTAACCCCGATGCACTAGAACAATATACAGGGCTGGCTTAACACCTTTCACTAAAGAGGTTAGAGGCCTGGAGTTCTGTCCAAGGTGGAGGCATAGGTAGAAATGCTTTGCTTCCTTGCACAACCAGAAGAAGGGTAACAACCAATTTAAAAACAATAAACAATAAACAACCAGAAGCGCCAGAAAAATCAAACTGCATGGAACTCCAACAACCAATGAGTTAAGGAAACATTTACTCAGACCAGTGGGAGGAGTGGGGGTGGTAGACTGGCAAGCTGAGCAGAGAGGACTCATGGCAAGGCCACGGACCATACAGGGGAGGTAGGACTGGCTTAATGGGAAACTAAAGACTCAAAGCTATTGGAGGAACAAGTATGAAAGACACAGAGAGGAGGACTCGGGGGGGGGGGGGAATGGGAGGGAGGGGGGAGACCGGGCGGGGGGGTGGGGTGGGATGGGAGAAATAGATTTAAAAAAATGTACTTGAAAAGTAACTAAATAAAATTTAATATAAAAAAAAGACTCAAAGCTAGCTGTAAACTACTGTGGGGGTTGTGACAGTGGGAGAAACTCCCGGTCTCACGTGAGAGAGTTTGTTGGAAAGTGGGGCTAAAGCAGAGCAAGCCAGCGACACTGTTCCCTCTCTGACGCCTCCCCCACATACAGCACCGCAAAGACAGGGTTGTCCCACCCTGTGGAATACCTAAAGGCTCTGCCCCCTTACAACATAACAGGTGCACCAAGACAAACAATTATGGCCCAAATGAAAGAACAGATCAAAACTCCAGAAAAAGAGCTAAGTGACGAGGAAATAGACAACCTAATAGATGCACAGTTCAAAACACTGGTAATCAGAATGCTCACAGAATCGGTTGAGAATGGTTGCAAAATAGAGCTAAAAACGAAGGCTATGAAAAGTGAAATAAAGAATGATATACAAGGAACCAACAGTGAAGAGAAAAAAAGGACTTAGATCAATGATTTGGAACAAAATAAAGGAATAAACATTTAATCAGAACCAAATTAATAAACAAGAATTCAAAAAGTATAGAGAGGCTTAGGAACTTCTGGGACAACTTTAAATGCTCCAATATCCAAATCATAGGGGTGCCAGAAGAAGAAGAGGAAGAGCAAGAAATTGAGAACTTATTTGAACAAATAATGAAGGAGAACTTCCCCAATCTGGCAAAGGAAATAGACTTCCAGGAAGTCCAGGAAGCCCATAGAGTCCCAAAGAAATTGGACTCACAGAGGAACATACAAAGACAGATCATTATTATGTTACCCAAGATTAAAGATAGATAATCTTAAAAGCAGCAAGAGAAAAGGAGACAGTTACCTACAAAAGACTTTCCATAAGACTATCAGCTGATTACTCCAAAGAAAACTTACAGGCAAGAATGGGCTGGAAGGAAGTATTCGAAGTCATGAAAGGCAAGGACCTACATCCAAGATTACTCTATCCTGCAAAGTTATATCATTTAGAATGGAAGGGCAGATAAAGTGCTTCCCAGATAAGATCAGGTTAAAGGAGTTCATCATCACCAAACCATTATTATATGAATTGTTAAAGGGACTTATCTAAGAAATAGAAGAAGATAAAAAAGCATGAACAGTAAAATGACAATAAACTATCATAACTATCAACTGAACCTAAAAAAACAAAAACAAACTAAGCAAACAAATAGAATAGGAACAGAACCACAGAAATGGAGACCACATGGAGGGTTATCAATGGGGGAGTTGAGGGGGGAGAGAGGGGGAAAGGTACAGAGAATAAGTAGCATAGATGGTAGGTAGAAAATAGACAGGGGGAGGATAAGAATAGTATAGTAAATGGAGAAGCCAAAGAACTTATATATACGACCCATGGACATGAACTAAGGGGTGGGAGAAAATGCTGGAAGGTGGAGCATGCAGAGCAGAGGGAGGATAAAGGTGAGAAAAAAACTGGGAAAATTAATAGCATAGTCAATAAAATATTATTTTTAAAAAAGAAGTTATAAGCCTAGGTGTGACTCTCCACCTGGACCGGCCCAGTTAGGAATTTATGATTTGTTAGAGATCACAGTAGCCATGTGTGCTGGTGGCTCCCACACTGGACAGTGCAGACATAGAGCATGTCCATCACTGCAGGAAGTTCTGCTGGATGGTCTAGTCTAGATGCTTTCAGAGGCAAACTTAGTCTTATCAGTGATTGTGCCAAAAAAGCTTGCACAATGAAGAACAATTCAGATTCACCAACTTTGTGATTCTTTTCCTGTAGTGGTGACACCCACTGTGCATAAATCACCTGGATGTCCTCCCATCGCCTGGTAGAAATTGTCATCACCCAGCCACTGCAGTCCCTGGGGACTCCAATTATGTCCTTTAGAAGTGTAAAATGTAGTCAGCAAAAATATCATTGAATTGTGTGCTTTTAAGGGATACGGTGTATAAATTATGTCAATAAAAAGTGGTCAGTTTACATTCTATTAATAAAGCAAAATCCCTTACTGAGAGTTTGTCTTCCTTTCACCTGTGGTAAGAAAGAGCCATATGGTGCATGCAGAAGTCCTTCAGGAAAAAATAAATAAATAAACACAATAATAAAGCCAAGGGATGAATAAACATATATTTAAATAAACCAACTGGCAGTAACTGTGAAGTGACTGAGTTACTAACTATATTGTACCTGCTGTAGTTCTATGGCTTCTCTAAGGAGACACAAGACTTCTGGGTCAGAGACAAAAGACAGTTTCCCACTCACAGAAACAGAGAGTAACCAGAGTACCCGCCTTCACACCCCCCTGCAGCCCCATTTCCCGCCGGGTGAGGGAAGAGGGCCAGGGGTACCAGCGCTCACAGTGGGTTGCATTACAGGAGACAAACCCCAAAGTGAGGAAACCTGACTTTTTCGTATTGGGCAGCCTGAGCTTGTCCTGGAGGAGGATCGTGCCGCTAACATACAGGACACTAAACAAATCTGTCCTGGGCTCTGGAGGGAGATGCTCTCTCCACCTGCCAAGGCCATTTATAGTATAAACATCCTTGAAAAAAATGTGGAAGGAAAAAGACAGTCACTGCTTCACTGCAAGACATACAAAAATGCAAGAGTTCCACAGAAACTGATACCAATACCAACAAACAATATCATAATAAAGAAATGAGTTAATCATTCAGATATTGGGGAGCAGGCTCAGATATATGTGAGCCAAGTGAGGCCCGTGAGAGTCCTGAGTATGGGGGACAGACACCATAGTGTCACGGGATCATCTGGTTTGGATTTTCATGGCTTGAAATCATTGAGTGACTCCCATGGCCTCCAGGTTGAAACCCCAACTCCTTGTGTGTCCAGCAAGGTCCCAGGACCTGCCCTGCTGTGCCTTCTTCACCGGCCTCTGCAGCGACACTGGAGTGTCCAGCCTTCAGTTCCCCAAACAGGCTCCACTGAACACCTGCAATCCATGCCTTCGACACGGCCCCTGCCCTTCCCAGACACACCCTTAATTTCTCAGGGCTTGGCTCAGGCAGCAACTCCTCACACCTTCCCATCCAGCTCCCAGTCTCCCTGGGATCCAGATCCAGAAGGACCCTTCTATCCGCCCCCACAGCACTCCTGCTCAGCTGTCTCACTGTGCTTATTTATCATACCTTGGGTGGTGACTCTCCTGGTTACTTGCTCAACCTGGATTCTTTTTTTTAAATTCTCACCCAAAGACATGCTTTATTGATTTTAGGGAGGGGGAAAAGAGGGAGATAGAGTGGGAGGGTCACATCCATGTGAGAGAGAAATATCAACTGGATGCCTCTCACATGTGCCCTGACTAGGAATGAAACCTGGGACCTTCCAGTTTATGGGACAAAACTCCAAGCAACCGAGCCACACCATCCAGGGTCCAACCCGGATTCTTTTTAAATTTTCAAAGACATGCATATATAGGGTAAAACTTCCAGCATGTTTTTTCTAGAATGAAAAATAAAAGTCTCCCTGCCCTGACTTCCAGAATGAAAAATAAAAGTCTCCCTGCCTTGACTTCCATCCCCACTTGCTCTCCTGAGGCCAATCCAATGCTCTTACAAGTTTCTAGCTGTGGCTCCTTCATAGTTTTAAATGACATGCTCATAACCCTCCCAGGATGTCAGGGGTGCAGCTCCCCCACCTATAAGCTCCGGGACTTTGTCAAATGACTTAACCTCTCAGTGCCTTGGTGACCTCTTCATACAGTAAAATAACAATGGTCCTCATGTTGGGACATAAAACTATCCAATCAAGTAAACATATTGATAGATAGTATGGAAGCTGGGGACTCTGGGCATATTTGTTATGATCCAAATTGACTTCACTTCCGAGAATGTTTCTTCATGCTTCATGTGACTGGGAGGCTTCGTGCCCCTCCCTTTCTGGCAGCCCGGTCCTTCTGTTGTGAACCTTGGGAAATGGCCCAGTTTAGAAGATATATAAGTCACAGGATCCAGGTGCTGCAGCTGCTCTGACATCAGTGACTCTGGAGTGTAATGAAGACCCATGGTACCCAGGATCTTTGGTAAGGGGGCTCCAGCCCCAAGTCTAGCTGATGTGTTCTCATACCCTCATGTACCTCTGAACCTCAAACTGAATTCTCTTTCCTATTCAATTCTTTTATTTATTCTTGTTCAATTACAGTTGTCCTCATTGTTCCCCATTACGCTCCCTGCCCTGCCCACCCTGCACTCCCACATTAATCCCCGTCTACCCTGTTGTCCATTTCCATGGGTCATTTGAACTTGTTCTTTAACGAGTCCTGTCCCCTTCTTTCCTCCTTTGTTCCCCTTTTCTCGCCCCTCGGATCCCTGTCAGTTTGTTCCTTGTTTCCATACCTCTGGTTCTTTTTGCTTTGCATTTTTTAGATTCATCCACATCATAGAATGTACTCGTACTTTATTCTTTTTAGAGCTGTATAACATCCCCATTGTACATATGCACCACGGTTTCTTTATCTGTTAATGGACAAATGGGCTCTTCCTATCTTTTCACTATTATAAATGATGCTGTTAGGAAAATATGTGTATACATAGGTGTTTGTGTTAGTATCTGTTCTCAATTCTTTTGCATACATACTTAGGAGTAGGATTGCTGGGTCAAACTCTAGCCATAGGGCTAGTTTAACTCTTTGAGGAACTGCCAAACTGTTTTCCATAGTCTCTCAACATTTTACAGCGATGTATGTGGCTTCAAATGTGTCTACATCCTCTCCAACTCTGTTGTTTTCCATGAAGCATCCCATAGGGTGTGAAGTGATAGCTTGTTGTAGTTTTATTTGTATTTCCTTAATGCATAATGATGCTTGAGCTTTTTTTTTCATGTGCTAATTGGCCATTTGTACATCCTTTTTGGAAAAATATCTATTCAGATATTTTTACACTTCTAAATTATTTTATTTGTCATTTTATTATGGAGTTTTAAGAGTTCTTAATTATATTCTATATACTCATCCCTTATCATTATGACTGATTTGGGATAATTTGACTTCTTTTTCCTTCCTGATCTTCTGATTGAATGATTTTTCCCTCCTTGTGTTCCAAAGCATTGATTTGATTCTTGGCTTCATCCTCTTCACTGTGGGTTCCCTGTAGATTTTTCTTTATTTTACTTCACGTGTAACCCTCATTCAGGGCATATTGGAAAATATCTTCTCTCATGACATGGATTGTCTTTCTACTTCCTTGATATTATTGTGTGCCGTGCATAGGTTTGTCATTGTAAGAGGTCTATTTTTCTCTGCATCTTGTACTTTTGATGTCGTATCTAAGAAAATACTTCCTAAACCATGCTTGTTAAGATTTACTCCATTATTCTCTGCTAAGAGTTGTATAGCTTTAGCTCTTATATTTAGGATGATGAATTTTGAGCTAATCTTTGTACACGGTGTATGCCAAGGGATCCCTCTTCTGCTCCCTCTTTTTTTCCCCCTCTTTCTCCTTGTCTTTCTTCTCTTTTTGCATATGGACATCCAGGTTTCCCAGCACCATTTTGTGAAAAGACCATTTCTTCCCCCTTTTTAAAAAAATATATTTTATATCTTTAGAGGGTTAGGGAAGAAGAGAGGGAGAGAAATATCAATGTACGGTTGCCTCTCGTGCGTCCCCTGCTGGGAACTGGCCTGCCACCCAGGCATGTGCCCTGACTGGGAATTGAACCGTGGTTGTTTGGTTTGCAGGCCCGCACTTAATCTACTGAGCTACCCCAGCCAGGGCTTCTTCCCCCTTTTAACTATCTTAGAACTTTTGCTAAAATCAAATTGACCATAAACGTAAAGGTTTATTTCTGGACTGTCCATTCTATCCACTGATCTTCATGGGTACATGGATATACTTCCTGTATATGGATGTACACACCCAATGTCAGTACCACAGTGCCTTGACTACTTTATCTTTGTAGTAGGTGTCATTTCAACAACTTTGTTCTTTTTCAAGACTGTTTTTGCTATTCGAGGTCCCTTGCATTTTAGGATCAGCTTGTTAATTTCTACAGTCTTCCTATTTATGAACGGAGATGTATTTCAATTAATTTATATATTGTCTTCAGTTCCTTTCAGTAATGTTTTGTTTTCAGTGTACAAAGTTTGCAACTATTATGCCAATTTTATTCATGAGTATTTTATTTTTAGTTGTGTTGTAAGTAGAATTATTTTCTTAATCTGATTTTCAGACAGTTTCTGCCAGTGTATACAATTGATTTTTATATGTTGATTTTGTATTTTGCTCGCTTTGTCGGTTAGTTCTATAGGGGGTTGGTAGCTTCCTCAGAATTTTTAATGTACAAGGTCATGTCATTTGCAAAAAGAAAAAGTTTTACTTCTTTTCCAATGGGAATGCCTTTTCTGGCCTGATTTCCCGGCTTAAACTCCCAGTGCTTTGTTGAGTAGCGTGGTGACAGTGGACAGGCTTGTCCTGTTCCTGATGCTAAAGGCAGCACTTTCTGTCTCTCACCACTGAGTATGATAAGCTGCGAGTTTTCCTGTGAACACCCTTTATCAGGGGAGGAAGTTTTCTTCTATCAGTAGTTTCTTCTTTGTTGGATCTTTTAATATTATAAAAGTGTGGGTTTGGTCAAATATTTCTCTCATTTTAGATAATATGTTTTCTCTGTTTTGTCTGTTTTAAAATTTTCTCTTTATCTCTCCTCTTCTTGAGAGTGAAAAAGGAGTTTATTTCCTTTTTCGCTTCTTCCTCCTTCTACCACGTCTTTACTGCTTCACTCTTCTGCCAACTGGGGAACTATGCTGCATTCGGAGAATCCTAAACTGTGGTTCCAAGAGTTTTCCTTGCATTCTCTCCCCTCAAATGATCCAGGCTGTACAGACTCAGCTATCTGGACTGTCACCTGTGTCAGGAACGTGTCCCTGTGCAGAGATGGCCCCAGATCCAAACCTGTAGAGCAAACTGGAACTGAGCCTCCCCCACACTGGCCTGCCCTCCCTGAGATTTACAATCCCAGCCTCATCCTCAATTCCCTTTCCTTCTCCTCCAGGGTCTGTTGCTATTTTACTCTTCCTTTCCATCCGGTGCCCAGTAGCAGGCATAGGTGAGTGCAGGATGGGGAAGAACAAGGAGGGAGGAGGCTACTTTTGGGAGTGGGGTCGTGCCCAGTCCTCCTTGAACTCATCAGCAATTTCTGTCCAGGGGCCCACATGAACTCTGGCCTATGGCTGTGCCAGCCAGCACCCATGTGTGGACACCGGATGTACAACCCCTTGAAAGAGTGTTGTGACTATGGCACCGTCCTGCTCCTGAACCGGACCCGCCTCTGTGGTCCTGACTGCACTTTCTGGCCCTGCCTTGAGCTCTGCTGTCCCGAGTCATTTGGGCCCCAGAGGAGGTTTGTTGTGAGACTGAAAGTTCAAGGCCCGAAGTCCCGGTGCCGTTCCTCTCCCATCTCCAGGGTCTGTGCCAGGTAAGCACCCTGCCTCACTCAAGGTGACAACAGGCAGAGGGGACTCTGGCAGGGGTAGACACTGGAGGCAGGGGCCCTCCTGGGTGGGGATCCCATCCTGCATCTCCCCAGCCCCCTCTGTGTCTGCTTCTCCCCTGAAATGCTTGGTCTCAGTCTCTCTCATTTTGTGTAGCTTATGAGAGACAACCAGGCCATTCTTAAGGTCGCGTTCTAGGATATGAGGATGAATGGGTAGGTGGCATGGTATTCAGATGATAAAAACAGAACTTAATGTCTGTTGAGGTTAAGTGTGTTCTTTCTGAATTTCCTGAAGCAACTTGCTGAGAAACAATTCCAGAGGAATGTTTCTCTGCTCTTGAAACACCCACCCACCACAGCAATCAGTGTCTCCTCAGTCACCCTCAGTTTCCTGTCTCTACTCTGGGCTCAGGCTTCTCTCCACCACTGGGGAGGCATGAGCCTGGGAAGTTGGATATTCCTCCCCTTTGGGTGGAGAAGGCTCTGGCTTCTCGGAGAAAATGTCTCAGAGAGATGTCTGGAACCCCAGCTCATGGGGTCCACGGTGTTGTAGATGAGCCGAGATACATTCACACAGACTACCAAGTCCTGTGGAGGAAATGGGAGAGCATGGCTTTTCTCTCAACGGGAGAAAAAGCCACAGCCTCCACCATGACAGGCCTTTATTTCTTTTTTCCTGGCACTTTACATGATGGTCCTCATTTACTACCCACAGGTTTGCTTCAGGTGGTTACCTTTTATAGAAAACAAAGGAGCCAATGCTGCTAATCATATCACAGAAGAAGGGTATTTGCAAATGAAAATGGAAAAGTGGTTGAACCGGTTACTCTCATCCTTGGAAGGTTTAGCAAAATATTTTGAGACTGAGCCATTCCTTTCAAAACAAAAACAAAAATCCAAGCAAACCAATATTTTCAAATTAAATCCTCTAAAGGAGGGAGTGAGACACTGACCTAGAGTCTTATGTCACATCACCTCGTGTTATTTCAACTGTGAGGAGATGGGGAGAGGACATCTCCCTCACTGTGATGGGCTATTTTTTTCCTCTGAGCCTCACACCCACCTCCATCACTCCCCAGCTCCCAACTTCTGTCTTTCTGTGGATGCTCTGAGGTCTGTGATTAAAGAGGGAGAGGGATACAGATTGTGAGTGAGTGACCGAGAGACAGAAATAGATTCAGAGATGGAGACAGAGAGAAAGAGAAGGACCCATGGGCCGGTCTGCTCCCTACTAAGTGTCTGACCATGGGCATCGGGAGGCCCCATGGGAGGCGACGTGCTGAGCTCTGTAGGGCCAACAGGTCTCATTGGGAAGCTGACCGGGTGATGGGATGGGATGGGCTTGTCAAATGTGAGCCTCCATTTACTGTCTGAAAGCTGGAGACAGCTACTTCACGCAGTGAACAAATGTCTAGAAATCTGCTAGGTGCACACACAGTTGTAGAGTTGAGGTCAGAGAGATGACGAAAACATCTTTACAAAGTTCTCACCCTGAAGTGATAGGGACCTCAAGCTCTTGGGTCCAGGAAATAAAATTTCCTCCATGATCAAGCAACTTTAGAGTCTATGGACCATTTGGCCAAAAGATGTGGGATGGAGGCCAGAGCACTGGGCCACCTGTTTAATCTACAAAACCAGTTGGGAGGGAGAAAGGGAAGTGAGTAGGGATTAAGAAGCACAAACTGGTAGGTACACGAAGGGTTAAAGGGGTTTTGAGAATCCTCCCTGTTTGTGGCTGAACTGTGACCTTCATTAGAAAAGCAAAAAACAGTGCTATCTCCCGGGGAGAACTAGCTGTCTCCCCAGGAGATTAGTACCTTTTGATCTTTAGCGGTTCCCTTGAGAGAATTGGCCTTTCTCCCAGAGGAATGGTTAGTTAGTCAAAACCACACAAGGCCCTTGGCACTAGCCACTTTTGTCTAAAACATATTTAATCATAGCTCCTAAAGTGAGACTTTGGAATCCTAACCGAGGGAAGGACACTTCTCTCAGAACTGTTCTCAGACGAACACCAAATGCCGCCCCCTCTGGGATTCCCCAGAGTTTATATTTGGGTGTTGGTGATTTTGCGTGTCTTGAGTCTTACTCTCACTTAATAAAGTGCTTAACTATTCACCTTTGACTTAGGGGCTTTATTGTCTATGAATCTGAACCTCCAAATTAAGTGGCCACAATCTCATATGTGCTCCTTAACGGCACATAAATTGGCATCACAGAAAGGATTCGAGGACAATATGCCCTTTTTTCATAAGTCTGAAGTGAAGGTTGTGATTTGTGAAGTGCCAGGCTGGGAGGATTTGCTGTTCTCCCAGGTTGCACAAGAATGGGCCCAGGGAACTTGCCCCTATGAGGACTGGGAAGGCAAGGTAGGTGAGGACTGGGGAACCGCCCCAGTTGGTAAAAGGCCTCCAGGGAGTGCTGATAGTGAAAGGAAAGAACACAGTCGGTATCCGCCTCTGGGGGTGGATCATTCTAACTGCATTTCAAAAGTGTCATGAAAAGAAAGAGCAGATCCTGTAGGAAAAACTTCAGCTGGAGCGAGAGCTTGCAGAATTGCAGGGGAAACTTCCCACATTACAATGTCAAAATTTTGTTCTGGGGGATCAAGCCACAACTTATCAGTCAATGGCTGAAAAGGCTGCAGTATGGTGTGCTCAGTATAAATATAAGAAGTGCTGGAGGAAGGTAAACAGAAAGAAAGTGCATGCTGTGATTGCTTCTGCCCCACCTGATTGGGACCCTGGTAAATGGGATGGGGATATTTGGGATGCGACGGATGAGAATGATGAAGAGGAGTGGGTTGAGGGAATCTCAGTACCCTGCTGGCTTGGTATTAGGGGAACCAGGACTCCTTGTGGGGAGAGGAGGAGGGCTGGAAGTCCTGGAGGGAGAGAGTCCCACAGAAAAGAGAGACAGAAGCTTAGAGAGGAGGTGAAGAAGGAGAGACCAGAAAGAAAAGGCACGAGCAGAGAGGGGAGAGGGGGACAAAGAAACCGCTGCCTTTGAGGAAGCTAAAATAGTTATACAGAATGATTTAGACCTGTGGCCCATGACAGAAGGCCCTCTGGAAATTCATGTTACTGTACAAGACCAGTATGCACACTGGAGTTTATGGCAGCAGCAAAAAGGAAAGTGGGTGCCTCTAGGGGTCTGGTCTAGAAAATTGCCCAATATCGTGGAGTCATATACTCTCTTTGAACAGCAATTTCTTGCTGCTTACTGGGCTTTGACAGAAATGGAACAGTTAACTGTGGGATATGATGTCCTACTATGACCTGGAATCCCCATTATGAATTGGATTCTGAGTGCCCAGCATCCCGTAAAATTGGACATGCCCAAGAAGCTGGTATAATGAAGTGGAAATGGCATATTCTGAATAGGGTGAAGGCTGGCAAATCAGGGGTGGCGCGTCTCCATGAACTGGTAATGGGTGGAGGACAGCTGGAGGGAGAGACAACTATACTCCTCAGTATGAAGGAAAGGCTTAGTTCCCCTGTCTGTTAGAGAATGGGATATAATTCCCTAACCCCTGACCCAAAACAGCATGCTTGGTTTACAGATGGGACAGCTAACGATATTGGTCAAGAAAGGCATCGGAAGGCTATTGCTTACAATCCCCATACTGGAGTCACTCTAGAAGCCACTGGAAAACAGGGCAGCAGCCAACTGGCTGGACCGAAAGCTGTTCACGAAGCCCCCCCCCCCCCCAGGAGGTGGGGAGCAGGGTGGCAGGGAGAGAATGTAATTTATTTACTGACTCCTGGGCAGTAGCCAATGGATTAACTACCTGGATGCCCATTTGGAAATGTAAAAATTGGGAAATTCATGGACGGGAACTTTGAGGAGAACCTCTATGGGAAGAAATCTGGGATATTGCTCAGTGCACTAATGTCTCTGTTTTCCATGTAGACACACATACTCTGAAGAATTCACCTGAGTGTGAGTATAATACCACTGCAGACGCTCTGGAAAAAACGGCTGCTGCTGCCACCTCTGAAGACTATTCCCTTGCCCTGTGGATACACCATCAAGCAGGACATTTAGGAACACAAGCTATGCACAGGTGGGCACGGGTCCGAGGAACAGATGTCCCTTTCTCCATTTTGAGGCAAATAAGGGATGAGTGTGAAATCTATCAGAAGGATGCTTTATATTCCATCCCCAAGATAGTAATGGGGGAATTAGCTAGAGGTATACTCCCTGCTCAAATTTGGCATAGATTAGATTTGCCTGTAAGTCGGGGATGCCAATTTATTTGTACTTGTGTAGACACCTATTCAGGGGTATTGGTTGCCTAGGCATACCAATGAGCTACCCCTAAGAATACATGCCAAACCTTTGATATCATTACACTTTATTATGACTCCCCTTTACAAATTCAGAGTGATAACAGTTCTCATTTTAAAGGAAAGGAAATTGAGACTTATTGCCAGTAACATAATCTAGAACGGGTATAATCTAGAATGGGTATAACCTAGAATGGGTATAATCTAGAATGGGTATATCACATTCCTTATTATCCACAGGCTGTGGGCCTAATTGAAAGAATGAGAAAAAGAAAAGCTGAGAAAGTTAGGAAATAATTCTTATAAAAACTGGGAAGATCACTTATTCCTTGCTTTGCAGCAATTGAATAATTGGCCTAGAATGGGTATAATCTAGTGTGGGGGCGACTACTTCACGAGGTCCCCCCCGGTGCCACAGACATGTGTGAATGAGTAAATATGGCCGAGACATGCTGGATCTGTTTGGGGAGGAGGAGTGGGTTGTGGTCAGTTTCTTTGGGGAGACAAAGGCAAGCAGCGGCCAGTTTCTCCGAGGAGAAAAGGGCCTCGAGCGCCCTCTTCCATAGCCTTTTATTGGGTTGTAATACACAGGAATGCAGGGCAAGCAGGGACAAGGATCAGACAGTAGATAACATTTCAAAGAGGTCTGAGGGCTTACTATGAGTCAGAGTCTGTCAGGAAGAGAGTTGCGGAAACTTTGGGAGACATACTCATTTCCTCTCGGACCCTTAACATATGAATGAAAGCACTCTTAGCAGAGCAGATTTCACGGGTTTATCAGCAAGTCTTTGTGGTGCCAGATTTTCCCCCAGGATAAGCTCTAGCAAGGCAAGGAGCTGTACCTCTCCCATCAGATATTCAGGCTTAAGGGGATTAGAGCCAGGAAGAGCTTCTCCCAGAGACCGTGGGGACTCAGGCTTTGACAAAGCGGGGAGGGGGGGCGAGAGTCCATTGCTGTTTGTTGCACCCCCTCCCCCCCCGCCCAACCCCAGTCCTTCCATGAAGGCCTCCCAAGTGATCGAGTCTGGCTTAGGTTGCCCCCCCCCCCAACTGTGAGGGGTCTTACCTGTCATTGACTTCTGACCAAGCTTTGGGGGCAGGGAGAGGAACTGAGGCAGCATTTGCTACCGGAGACAGGCTTTGTCTCCTGTGGCTGGCATTCCAAAGGTCGTCTCTCGCCCTGAGCCACAAGGGGTAGAGATACAATTCCTAAAATCAGACAGAGCAGTCTACAACAACCTAGAATGGGTATAACCTGGAATGGGTATAATCTAGAATGGGTATATCACATTATTATCCACAGGCTGTGGGCGTAATTGAAAGAATGAGAAAAAGAAAAGCTGAGAAAGTTAGGAAATAATTCTTATAAAAACTGGGAAGATCACTTATTCCTTGCTTTGCAGCAATTGACTAATTGGCCTTTAGGCAATTCTATGCCTTTGTCATGAATGATGACTCCCGATTTACAGATTTGTAGCTAGCAATGTTCTACTACCTTAAAATGGTGCTAATGCTCACCTAATGCTCAGGCCCCATATATGGACACTTTAGGATCAGCAGGAAGTGATTTATGCACCCTGCAAAAGATCTGGATGGATCCTAATACTACTCAGACTACCCCAGCAGGTTTAGGCATACAAATCCCAAAAGGACATTTGGACATATTCTCCCGAGATTCAGCCTAGTTTTAAAGGGATTGTAAATTATAGCTGGAGTTACTGATTCAGACTATGTGGGAGGAGTAAAAGTACTACTGCATAATGTATCTTCGCAATCTATACAACTGCAAGCCCAAGCCCAGGAACAGGTGGCTCAAGTAGTCATTATCCCCTATCACAAGGGGAAATGGGAACAGCTTCCCCATCTCCTAATGCCACCACCAGAGGGGGAAGCTGTAGATCTACCAACATGAAGACTGGAGCTGAGGTACGAATATCCTCATGATAAGGCCAGGGCCACAGAGGTTGTTGCCGAAGGAGCTAGCAATACCCTAGCAGTTACTTACACAGGATAGGACAATATTGAAATTCTACCTACTTATCAGTTGTTCCTGTTTTTTAGGGCTTCTCTTTGGACAGTAGATGATATGAATGGTCAAAGCCTGGATACCTGAAACTCTTCTTGCCATTCCTACACCACCACACCTGAGACTCTTTTGGACTAACATTAGTCATCATCAATGAATCAGCACCAACCAGACATGACAAGATAATGTCACTGTTGAGCCCGCCAATGTTGTAATTCATTTAAATAAACTATTGTGACTTTTATTTTGCTGTTATAGTCAAGAAGGTATTGATGTGTAAATGAGTCAGGGACATAAATGAACTTGTCCACCATAGTTGTATTATCTGTCCTTGAGTCTTCAGGATGCTCTGGACTCTTCCAATTCACTCCAAGTTCAGGAAGTTCTTGGGATAACCTCCCCCGTGATGATTCTGGAATTCGGAGGTTGGGTTGAGGTCTAGACATGGGGCTATTCCTTGGCTCCTCTTCCTTGTCCAGGTAGCATGACTCCACTCTCCCAGCTTACCTATACAGGCTTGAGAGGATTTGGGGTGAAATGTTCAAGGTCACTGTCTGCCTGTGTTCTATTGTATCAATGTCACCTCCTAGTTGTATTTCCTTCTGTCCCTGCAGGGGGAAGGAGGTGTGCCCTCTCTTTGGACAGAACTGGGCTGAGTTCAGGTTATAGTATGAATGGCCCTCATATGGCCACTTCTAAGACATGTGCCCAAGGACGGGACACCCAGTCCCCCCAGTGCCCCGACCTGGGGCATCCTCCATCACACCTGGTGTCTAATGGTGGTTTCCCCATCCACATGGCAAGGTGAGATGACTCATGTCCTTCAGTACTTCTATGGTTCGACTGGATGGGGTCCAATTACTTAGGTGAAAAATGTTAAATCTTCCCACTTGGACAGCGTCATACTCAGGCAGGTCTGGACTCTCATCATGGAGCAGGTCCAGCCGTGCCAGAGAATTTATCAGCCCCTCATCCCCTGTACTTTCAAAGCTCCCTCTACTGATACCGGGCTGAGTGGTTACCGCTTGCTGCCACTGGGAACTGGAAGTAGGGAAAGGACCTGGTGTGCACACCCAGGCGGCGATCCCATTAAGCTGTCACAGGCAGCTGGAAACAGGCCTGTGACACCTGAAGAATGCAGGTGGAGCAAAGAGCAGCCGACCCATCTAGCCAGCCAGCAGAGGGCAGGGCCCGGGGCACTGGGGAGTGCCCGACCTGCATACCTGACATTTTTGGAGCTCAGCTGAAATTCCTCTACAATCTTGCCTGTCCCAGGGAGGGGTTTCCTGCAGCCAGGTGGAAATCACACCCTGCCAGCAGGGAGAGTCAGCCTATTTAGCTGCTGGGCCACAGGAAGGCCAGTGGGGAAGCCTATGACAGGTGGAAATCCCAGTTTCCTTCTCTGTTTCACATTCCAGAAGCACAGATCTGCCAGCACCACCTGGGGGAATGTCTTCCTTGGGGTTTGTCCAGCAGTGCCTAACCCTGGGGCCTGCTCTCCCTTTGGGGGGGGGGCTGGGCCTGGGACTGATGGAGACCCCATGCCTGAGACCTGTAGAGGGGCCTCATGCCAGAGTCTTCCTCACACCCAGGGAACTGGGTAGAGAGAGTACAACCAAAGGGGTTTCAATATCTCTTATTTCCCATGAGAACCTGAGTGTCCCCTGATCTTTGGAAGATACAGCATCCCCAACTAGGCACCTGTCTGTGGCCCTGCCAGCACTGGTCTTAATATCACAGAGCTGCAAGTCCAGGAGAGGTGGCCGCCTGGCCCCTGACAGTGACCACTGAGACTGGGCAGTGCAAAAGAAGCTGCTCTAGGACTTTTATTGTTGTTAGTGGTGGTTTTGGGGGCCTAGAGACCCTGGCTGGATACAGGACAGCCCCTCAGGCAGGAATTTATAGGAATGTCAGGAGGAATGACACACGGCACAAATGTATATAAAATAAAGTTTACAATGCACACAGGAGAGAAGAATAGGGCCCCCCAAGGGGAAGGGCTCAGGGTTCACCCAGGGCGAAGTCAGGGGGAAGTGGGAGAGTCACAGCTTTCATTTAGGCCCAGAGCTGGAGCAGGTCTTGCTCTTTGTGGTTTGACCTTCCCTTAGGGGTGAGGGATGGAGCCCCAGGACTTTCCTAAGGGCTGGACAGCTGTAGTGCTGGACAGTTGTAGTGCTGAAGAGGCATGGGACCTGAAAGATGTCAATCAAACATCAGAAAGGTAGTCTTCCTCTTCATTACAGGATGTGGAAATGGGCTCTGTAACAGGTGTTTGTTTCCTTGGTTTCACGTCTCCATGGGTGAAATTCTGGCAGGTGCTCCCACTGTGACATCACTGCGTGAATCTTCAGCAGCCCTCATGATGGTCTGAGTAGTGATGCGTAGACTCGGTGGGCGTGGTCTTCGAATTGTTGGCATTTCTTCTGCGTGGCAATGATTTGTCTCTCAAGAGTTGATTCCTCATTATTTTTTACAAGAGTTTATTTGAGCCAAACTGACAACATAGGCCAGGGAGCAAAATCTCAAGTGTTTCCTGATTTCCTATTTTGACACACACACACCACTGCCAGGAAGAAAGAGGCCCTCATCCTCCTGGGGGGTGCAGAGTGAACCCACCCTTCCCACAGAGGCAACCAGTTCTCGAGTACAATTCACAAAATAAATTCAGTTCTTCGTGCGGTGTTCCTGGGAATCTACGCACATTTTGACCCTGTCCAAATATTCTGTACTTCTCAATGAAGTCTTTTTGGATTTGTTAAGTCCTTTTTAATGCCCTCCTTTTATTTTTATCCTTTATTAACAGCAATATTGCCTTAAGGCCTATTAGTAATGGGGCAAGAATATCTGTGGCAGAAAAGCTTGCAGCAAGATGTCTGTGGTGAAAATACCAGGCACGTTTTCTGGAACTTTGGGAAGAGGCAAAGGTGGGAGTGAAGCTGGCCCGTCTGTCCCCAAAGCCTCAAGTGGTCCAGTTAGAGGTTCTCAGTGTTCACACCTGTGGGGACCAGCCACTGCCCTCCAACCATCACAGCCTCCCAGAACCCCCTCGCTGTCCCCATCTGTCCTGATTTCCCTTTACTCTCCTGCCCAGAATCTGACTCAGCTGCTCTGGGAGAGCAGCAACAGGCTCAGGAGGATGGGCTGGGCCCGGGCTAGAAACTCCAAGTCTACTTGGCAAGGGAACTTGCTCCTCTCTCTCATCCTGACTCCCTGCTCTCACCCTCTTGGGGAAGAGACAGCCAGGCCAGGTGCCAAGTCGGTCCTCAGCCTCCCTAGAGGAGCTGGCAGGCTGTTTGAGAGCCTGGTGTTTCCAGCATCCTCATTCGTTGTCGATTCTCAACAACTGGAGGTCTGCATGTACTCTGATGACTGTGAAACGGTGTGAATATCTCTCTGTGTTTGGGATCTCTCTTTTTAGTTCTGCTGATGTTGCTGTGTGTACATTATTTTAAAGCTTTGTCATTGGAGCGTCGTGATTCAGGATGGGGGTATCTGCCTGTGGCCTGGGCCTCTCTTCATCCCTAATAAAGCCTTTGTCTGAAAGCCCCTCTGAGAGCAACAGAGCTCTGCCAGCCGTCTCTGGTTGGAGTCTGCATTTCTGTCGTTTTTTCATCTTTTCTATTTCAGTCTAAGTCTTTTGTTAAAAATGTGACTCTTATAAGAAGCATAATTTGTTTCCATATATTTAAAAACATATTTGATAACTTTTTAAGATTTATTTCTCTTTAGAGGTGAAGGGAAGGAGAGGGGGAGAGAAATATCAATGTATAGTTGCCTCTCATGTGTCCCCTGCTGGGAACTGGCCTGCAACCCAGGCATGTGCCCTGACTGGGAATCGAACCACGATCTGTTTGTTCATAGACCTGCACTCAATCCACCGAGCTACACCAGCTAGGGTGTTATTTGATAACATTTTTAGTCCACTCACGTTAATATAATACTGATATGTTTGGGTTTATATCTACCACCTCACTTTATCTTTTTTATTTAGCCCATCTGTTTCTTCCCTTATTTCTCCTTTCTTTCCTTCTTTGGGAATATCTAGCTTTCTCAACACTCCACTTTTGTCTTCTATTTAATTTCTTAATTATTCATCTCTTATTCTTTTCATGGTGGTCCTTTTAGAGATTACACCATGTAGCAGTATTTTAGCCAAGAACTAATTGTTACTTTGAACAGTTCCCAAGTATTGCTAGACCTTTAAAGTCCATTCACCACTTCCAGTTCTCACATTATTAGAGTTGTCATTCATTTGGTTGGACATAGACTTCACATTCCCCAGTCCATTAAAACTGCTACTCCGTGCCTTCGATGTTCACTGTGTCTGCTCCTGATGCTGTTCTGTGATGCTGTCTTCCCTCCCACCTGCGTTTCCTGTTTCATTCTCAGATTGCTTTTCCTTTGCCTGAAGACCCTCAGTTGGTTTTGCTGCAGTGCACATGTGCTAGGGCAGACCAGGCAGGGACCATGCACATCAATTATTTTGTTGTTTTTTAGGCCATGTTTATTTTGCCCTTTTTTGGAAGTATTTCTGCAGGTTATTTCTTCTATTTCAGCACACGAAAGGTGCCATTTCATTGTGTTTGGCCTTCCATCATTTCTTTTGAGAAGTAGGCACAACAATAAGGAAATAGAGTAGAGAAAGGGAATCCAAAGCCCTGGGTGGGAGCAGGAGGCTGTGCTGGGCACTGCTGGCTGGTTGTGTGGTGTCATCTCATGTGGGATAGGGTTGGTGCCAGACTCACCAAAATACCATGGGTCATGGAGTCTTCCCACATCCACAGGGTACCTGCCAGAACCCCTGAGGGCAGGAACTGGAGAAACTGAGATTCTGGAGAGGGCCCCCTGAGAGGCTCTGGGACTGGATCCCAGAGCAGTGAGTGACCTCCCTCTGCCTAGTTTCCTGATCTATAAAGCAGGGATCATGTGGTACCTACCTCTCGGGACTGATGTGAAACTCATAGGATTCAAGGTGCTTTGAATGGTACTTAGTGCATCATCAGTGACTAAATGTGTGATAAAGTCTCCACTCCCAGGAGAGGACAGAGAATGACAGGCCCCTCGAGTTTTATGAGGACTGTCACCCTGAAACTGGACCCCAGCCAAGAACCTCCCACCATTGTCGGGTGGAAGGGCACTTTCGCAGTTGGAAGTCAGATCTTGACAGTGACCACAATGGAGCCACGGTGCATGCCAGGCCCTTGGGATCAGCGGGAGGAAAGAGCCATGAACAGAGACATCACCCTCACCCTGATGTCAAAATAGTAGCTCGATGGTGTCTGAGTTGCTCCTGCTGGAGAACACACCCTGGCCTTTGGTGCTGACAAACAACCTCCTTATACGTTTCCCAGTATCACCGCCGAATGGTTAGAGAACTCAGGAATAGCAACGGCACTGGGCCAGGACTCATCAGCTCATTTGCTAGGAACCACTGACTTAAAGTCAAGTGTTCCTCCCAAAACAGACCAGTTCTTAATGACCTCAGTCACAGGTAATTCCCAGAGAGGCTGGAGGTGGGCTGGACTCTGGGGTCTAGTTGTCTTTATCAAAAAGTGGGGTGAGGCCAGGGTGCAACTGGGAAGGACAGTGCTCAGGGCAGGGTTGGGGCTGGAGTCTCTGAGGCAGAAGGAGCCTGGCTGGCCCTCCGGGGCCGGGAACTGGTCTCTCAGGTCAGCTGAGTCAGGCCGTGGGGCAGCATAGAGGAGGAAGATGAAGACGGGGTAGTGGACAGGGAATGGGGTTTCTCAGAGGCTGTGCTGGTGGGACAGGGGGGTCAGGACAGGGCTCCCTCGAACACTGAGTCATTAATCTAACACGATGTGGCTTTGAAGTCAGACAGCCCTGAATTTGAATCCTGTCCCTGTTCAAATCCCATCCTCCAGGCATGAAAAAGGCATTTACAGGCAGTGCCATCCACCTCTGAACAGTAAAGAGAACAACTGCTCATGATATGAGACACAAATGGCTTCAGCCCCATGACTCCCATTTCTCTCCAAATAGGCTGGCCTATCAGAGTCAACATGCTCCCTCCCTTGGCACCAGCAGGAAGTTCCAACCATGTAACCCATCTCAGCTCCAGGACCCTTCACCTTCATTCCAAGTTCTAGCCCAGAGCAAGGCCCCTCCCTGCACTTGGATCCCTGCAGATGGAGGGCGGGCCCTGCTGCTTGGGATTCCTGTGCCAACTCCTCTGTGCGTGACCAGCGTTTTTTCCATCTTGGTGCTGCCTGTTTGTCGCCCATCCCTCAGCTGTAATGACTCCTTGCCAGGGGCTGCCCAGCCTCCAGCAGATGCGAGACACCCAAACAAGAAGTTCCAATAACCAGCTGCCTCTTCACCCCCACTTCAGCTCTGCCCACTCTGGTTGTCACTGTCCAGGGACAAGTTGGCCATCTGTACTGGTCCTAGAGCTCTGTGAGGACCAGGACCAGCGCTGCCATGGCCATTGTCATGTGCCCTGGAATTGGGGACACTAGCTCTTCACCAAGAGGGTGTTCAGAATCTCAGGAAATGAGTATTCCCCCCAAACCCCATTTGCTGTATTCCCTTCCCTGGGTCCTAGGATTCAAGACCCTGGCAGGAGGCCCCAATGAAGGCTACACACCTGTCACAGATGACCTCTCTCCCAGCCCACCTCCTTCAGTCCCTGGCCCACCCATCAGAACATGCAGGGAGGCCCCGAACTCAGACACCCTGGAGGAGCCCTGCTGCAATGTCCCCACAGCTCCTACCCGGTGTCCACAGACCTACGCCTCCAGCACATGAAGCAGGACAGGAAATTGGCATTTCTTCCTGTCACCTGCTGCTTCACTGGCTTCCCCTTTTGTCCCAGGAGCAATAGACTGAATCTCTCTCCTGGCAGCAGGAAGTGGTGATTTCCATTGTCCATGTGTCCCCAGAAGGCCATGCCAGGTGAAAAGTAGGAACCTTGGGGAGCACCAACTGGGAGTGGAGAGGGTCAGGTATGCAGGGTGTCACTGAGGAGCAGGGCCTGGGACTCCCAGAGCCAGAGGGCCTGTCTGCATGGGCTGACGGGGGGAGGTCCCCAGTTACACTTCAGGGTTTCAGGCCTGGTCTCTTCTCCCTGCAACATTGGGACACCTAACCACTCCTTGCTTTTTCAAAGGAAGAGATGACAAGTTTTCTGACAGAGCTGGCCGTGTGACCTCACGCAGGGACTCCAGAGGGGCCTACAACAGGGTTGCAGACCTGGAAACTTAAAGCTTTAAAAGTCAGAGTGTATGCAGCAAGACCATAAATAAGTACCCAAGGACCAGAGTCAATCCACCTTCCCTGTGGATGGGGCCACCACAGTTAGAACCCAGGAAGGATGAACCAGGCAGGGACATTAGAATGACATGGTGTCCCATCCTTGGGCATGTGTCTTGGAAGTGGCCACATTATGTTCAAGTTCAGATGATCTCTGCTGTCATCACAACCAGAACTCAGCTCAGGTTTATGCAAAGAGAGCCTCGAACTCCTTCCTCCCACAGGGACATGGGGAGATAGATACAAGGCAGAGGCAGTGACACAGAAGAAAACAGGTGGGTGATGGCCTCGATCATTTCACCCCAAACCCTCTCAAGCCTATAGGTAGGATCGGAGTGGGGTGCAGAGCTGCCTGGACAAGAAAGAGGGGCCACAGACACACAGACAAATTGGAATTCATCAAAATTAAAAACTTTTACTTTATAAACAACCATCATGAAAGTGAAAAGACAACTCCCAGTATGAAAGAAAATACTAGCAAATCATATGCCTAATAAGAAAATTGTACTCAGAATACAAAAAACACTCTTACCAGTCAACAATAAAAAGCCAAAGAACCAAATAAAAAGTTGACAAAGGACTTCCGGCCAAGATGGAGACATACATAGGTAGACATACTGAGCCTCCTGGCACAACTAAAATAAAAACAACAATTTAGAAACAAAATAACAATCAGAACTGACAGAAAACTGAACTGTATGAAAGTCTGACAACCAAGGAGTTAACTCCTCTGTACACATTCATCCAGACCCGCAGGAGAGGCTGAGTGGCGAGGCGGAGAGGGGTCATAGCAAAAAGAGTGACGTCACGGGGCATGCAAGGGGCATGCAAGGCAGCAGCACATGGACCTTGGGCATGCAGGTGGCAGCTGGCAGACCCCGGGTGCAGGATGGCAAGCGGAGCATTTTGCATGGCCAGGTCCATGAAACCTTTTAAACACATTCAATGACAATGACAGAATCAACAGAGACGAATATTCCTGCAGATCCTGCAATCTGTGTACACACCAATCCTACAGTCTTTTTCTCAGAAATGTTTCTGGATGCACGCTGAGAAAATTCACATTCTGTCTAGTTGCCTCAGTGTCCTCCACCACCAGTCACAGCAGTGTTTCTCTTGCAATCAGTTTCCCTCACCTCTATGGTGCTACCACTTGACCATCCCCCATGGAATTGAAGACATTATGACCCATGACCTTTTGCAAGGCCTGGGCTAGGGACCCCTGCAAAAATATTGCCATCCTTTACAAGAAAAAAAATTCATGCTGCTCCCTGACATATTGAGGTTGTCATACCTACCCCTTCTTTGCAGTGATGTCAATGTCTCCTGAAACTCACAGCACTGAGGCTTCTCAGAACTAGAAAGACCAGTCTTGCCTAGGGGGATATGAGCAGGAATGCAAGTCTGATAAAAATCACTGAGTGGATTTCTGCACTAAAGTGTCCCCAAAGAGGCAGAGAAAGTTGAGACACATAAAAGTTCTTCACATCTGATGCTTGTGGGGCACGAAACTGCTTATAAACTTCACCACACAATAAATACAGCCCTCAAGATTAAAAAAGACTTGGGGAAAAGTCTCCTGTTATTTTACCAAGCCAAGGGAGATCATCTTGGCAGTTCCTACACTGGTGATTTGGACATTCAAAAATGATCACTGGTTATGTAAAAAAGTATGTCCTGCGAAAATGTAGTCCTCCTATAAGCTGACATCTGAATTCAGATGATATTTTGTGGGCCAAAATTGAGTCACGTCAATGCGCCAAGTACTGTGAGTGCAAAGAAAAAAAGACCTAAAAAGCTAGGCTACTCCTAATTTTCTCCAACAAATCACAGGGAAGTTACTTTTTCTGAGCACATCAACCATGATGAGTCGTGGAATCTCTTGGAACCTTATAGCTGGTATATGGGAAATAGAAATATACAGTGACACAGATGTAGAAAAACACCTAGGTAAATAAAGTGCAACATGGATACACATGCTTCACAAACGAAAGCTTGTCATGGGAACCACTTTACTGTTGATGTTTGGCTGTATGACATTTGACTCAGCCAAGGCTTCACAGAATTCCGTTATTCTTAACATGAAAGAAAAATCCTGTACGTGTCCTAACATCTACAACCTTCTGCACATTCACCATACTAATTAAGCCTTTCTCCTGTGTGAAATCTCTCATGATAGCGCAGGTGAACTTTACTGCAATAAGTATTCCCACATTGACTGCACTCATAAGGCTTTTCTCCTGTTTGAATACTCCGATGGTAACGTAGGCTAGCATGACTGCGGTAACATATCCCACATTTACTGCACTTATAAGGCTTTTCTCCTGTGTGAAATTTCTGATGATAAAGTAGGCCAGAGCTACTGCAGTAAGATTTCCCACATTCATTGCACTCATAAGGCCTTTCTCCAGTGTGAAGTCTCTGATGACAATTAAGGGAATTTTCGTGGGAGAAAAATTTCCCGCATTCACTGCACTCATAAGGCCTTTCCCCAGTGTGAAGTCTCTGATGACAATTGAGGGCATTCTTTCGGAAGAAAGATTTCCCACATTCACTGCACTCATAAGGCCTTTCTCCAGTGTGAAGTCTCTTATGACAATTGAGGGCATTCTTTCGGAAAAAAGACTTCCCACATTCGCTGCACTCATAAGGCCTTTCTCCAGTGTGAAGTCTCTGATGAGAACGAAGGTGATCACCTCTGGTAAAAGATTTCCCACATTCACTGCACGCATGAGGCCTGTCCCCTGTGTGAATTCTCTGATGATAATTGAGAAGAGTGCTATTCATAAAAGATTTCCCACATTCACTACATTTGTAAGACCTCTCTCCAGTGTGAATTTTCTCATGTAAATAAAGGTTACTTTTTGTTTTGAAAGACTTCCCACATACACTGCAAGGATGGGGCCTTTCTCCAGTGTGAACTGTCCGATGATCACGAAGATGAGCCAATATTTTAAATGATTTCCCACACTCACTACACTGCTTTGGCTTTTTTCCTGTGTGAACGGTCTGATGATAATGGAGACGAGTGCTGTTGATAAAAGATTTCCCACATTCACTACATTCATAAGACCTTTCTCTAGTGTGAGCTTGCTTGTGACGATAAAGGGTATATCTTCTTTTAAAAGACTTCCCACATACACTGCACTGATGGGGCCTTTCTACAGTGTGAACTGTCTGATGACGATGAAGTTGAGATAGTTTTGTAAAAGATTTTCCACATTCACTGCACTGACATGAATGTGGGAACTTCACATCATTTTCTGCACTGGGAACTCTCTGACAATAACAAAACCTACAAATTCTGGAGACATTTTTTCCATCATCATGGCACACAAAACACTGTCTTCCACTATGGACGCTCTTCTTTTGAACATACGCATGGTTGCAGCCAATGAATTTTGTACAGTCACTCAAAGTGAAATAATTTTCTCCTCTTTGAATAGTGTCTTCAGATGGTGAGATTTCATTTGGCCAGTCCCTGGTGAGAATAACCTCTTGTTGGAGATGGTCTGACTCAGTAAGGATGACCTGGCCATCCTCCCCACAGGTAAAAAGCTTCTGGGACACACTGACATTGCAGCCCCGTGCAAGGAGAAGCCTGTCCACACCTCTTCTCAAAGGCTTCTCTCTCACGTGGTACTCTTGGTGCTGGTGACACTTTGTACTGAAGTAAAATTGTTTTGCACATGCCCCACACTGCAATGATTTCTGGCTGGGTTGTGTTTCCTGCTCTTCGGTCAAGTGGAAAATGTATCTCAGCACTGGCCCACAACTCTCACATGGGTGGCTCTCCTGGGAAGACAAAGCCACCTTGGGATTCTCTGCCTGTACCACTCTTACAGAAACGTTTTGTTCAGTCAGTTTGTCCACATCCTCTGCTCCACAGCAGCAACCTGAACAAAAGGAAACACTGGTCAAGTATATGTTGACATTATAAGGAAGGAATATCCTCATCATAAATGGCCAGCTCTCACAGCTAGACATGATTCTATGAAGTCATTTTCAAGAGATGTGAGTTACACACTGAAGAAATGGCTGTTATACATTATTTGGCCAAAAGGCATGGCAGTGTTGGTGACCTCACTGAGGAAGAGACATGAGTGTAGGATGAAACACGAAGTACATAGTCAAGGTCTACTATTATTCTTCCACACATGGCTTGCTGTAGGATCTTTCCTGCTGGTGAGGTGAGGCTGTGTAGAACAATTTGAATGAGCTCAACCTAATCAAGATCAATTACACTAGAGCCTATGATGTTTAAGGTCAATGTAATGATATGTGTGCTCTCCAAAGGTCTATAAGCATAGACCAAAGTTAGAGTGAAGTAAAAAAATAAAATAAAACCTGTAATAGAAAGAATTGACGCCCTGGCTGGTGTGGGTCAATTCAATGAGTGCCACCTTGCAAACTGAAAGGTCACTCGTTCGATTCCTAGTCAGGGGACATGACTGCATTGCAGGCCAAGCCCCCAGTTAGGGGTATATGAGAGGCAACCGATCAATTTATCTCTCACATGTCCCATGTTCCCCCCTCTCTTTCTCCCTCCTTTCCCCTATATAAAAATAAATACAATCTTTAAGAAAAAAGAAATGGTTGTGGAACAAAGTTTACATAGGTGAAGATTACCTGTGGGCTGAAAATCTGAGTAGAAATGATAACTCAGAACTGATTCTTTGACACTTTGTCAACAATAAACAAGCATAGGTAGAATAGGGTGAGGAATGAGCAATGGTAACAAAATACTAATCAACAAAGTGGCTTCCTAGTTATGACTTTAGCAAAGCCCATGTGCCAAACCCTCTCCAACAGCCCTTCACCAAAATGTGACAGCCTCTGTGTCCACTCTGTGGATAGAACTGTGTTTCTCCTGGAATGCACAAATGCAATGTCCCCTTAAATCCCAGTGGAGCCATTACATGGAATACACATGATATAAATTCAAAGAGAAGAACTGAAGAGGTGGATGGGCAACATTGTGGTAGAACAACAAAGCACAAAAGACCACAGAGAAAAGGTCTATGTGAGTGACTTCAATAAGATGGACGAATATGAAATAAGAGAATTCTCCCTTCTTTCATAGCAAGTAAATGGTTATCCACAAAAATACATAAACAAACAAATGAATCATGGAGGAGGTGAATATAAATATAATTAAGACAAATAGAATATCAACCTTGAACAGATGGGTCAGTGGTTAGAACAGTGGTCCCCACCCGGGCCATGGAACTGTACCGGTGTGCAGACTATTAGGAAATGGACTGCAAGAGAAGCTCCACTGAACTAGGCCTCCTGTCTCCTCCTGGCCCCTTCTATAGTGGGTGAACAAGAAACTCACCTAAACTGCACCTCCCAGTTCTCCTCCCCTCAACCCCCTACACTCCCATGCCACCCACACCCATCTCCTGGCAAATAGGTTTCTGGTGCCAAAAAGATTGGAGACTGCTAAGTTAGTGCATCAACCCGCTAACCTAGGTTGTGAGATCGATCCTTGGTCAAGGCACATACAAGCAGCCACCAATGATTGCATAAGTAATTGGAAAAACAAAGTGATAATTTTTCCTCTTTCTTCCTTTCTTTTGTCTCTCTAAATTCAATAAACAAGCATTTATACATACAAACAAACACAAAAGACAAGCAGGAAAGCCATATGCAGGAAACATTGAAGAGCACAGAAAAGAAGACAGGGTAGATGGGTGACCAAACAAGTTTGAAAACAGCAAGGTCAAAATAAGGGTCAGAGTTCTATCAACTGCTGTGACTGTACTCAGGTTGGCCTTAGTGGACTGTTCTGTGAAAAACAAGAGAAATTTTTGTTTTAAAGAACCAGAGAAGGCCCTGTAACATCTACGAACTCCATATGGTTTACAAATCAGAGGACCCTATTGAGTTTCTCAGCTCGAAACCCAAAACACATCCCTTTGTCCACAACCTAGTCCAGGAAGAACCAAAAATTCAATGCCACCCAAAGACGTCAAAACCTTGACTGTCATTGAAAAGAAACGCTGCCAAAGCAACAGCTGACCTGCACATTTTTTTGTTATTCTGCCCTCAGCTCATGTAGCATCACAGAGACTAGGTTGGTGGTGTAGTGGCCTGCCCAGGAGGGGAGCTAGCCGGTATGTAATGGCAAATAGCCTGCCCAGGAGGGGTGCTAGCTGGTGAGTCAACAGGATTAGGGAGAGCAAGTAACTAAGTAACTGAGGAGTAAGAACAAAGAAATCCATATTAACTCCTATCAGCAGTTGCACTTTCTTGCTTCTGTAAGCTGCTTCGTGCTTTCGTGCCAGAAGTAAGGGTCCGAGTGAAAGACTGCCCCCCTCACTCTATATAAGCCATTACTCCCCACTGATTGGGGCCCAGAATTTGGAGACTGACTCCTCTGGGTCCTCACGCGTGAAAATAAACTTCCACTCTGTACCCCCGAAAGCGGCTGAGTTGTTTTCTGTAACAGTGGGACTTGTCTAAGACTGAGACACAACACCAACTCAGCCACCCTGCAATCTACATGAAAATGAATCTATCTGTCCAGCCAGAATTAGTCCATAAAATGGAAAGGAGTTACTGCTTCATCAAGTGCATAGAAATTAATAGAGGATTAAAAGAAATACTAAAAACAAGGACATGACCAACAGAACATAATAATTTCCCAATAATTGATAACACATGGCTTTCAATGTATAGCCTGATAAGGAATCCAAAATATTTACTTTAAAAAAGATCCATGAGCCACCAGAGAATACAAAGGGAACCAACTTAAAGAAACTGGCATGAGAACAATAGCAGAATACGGGGTATAAAGGAAAATTTAAATAATAAAATAGCACTGATTGGTGGGGTTCAGTGGATTGAGTGCTGGCCCGTGGACCAAAAGGTTGTCAGTTCAATTCCCAGTCAGGGCACATGCCTGGGTTGAGGGCCAGGTCCCCAGTGGGCGCCATGTGAGAAACATCTACACATTGATGTTTCTCTTCCTCTTTCTCTCTCCTGTGCCCTCTCTGAAAACAAATAAATATTTAATTGAAAAAAAGATAAAAAGAAATGAAGAGTCCTAACCAAGTGGCTCAGTCAGTTGGAGCACCATCCCGAACATCTAAAAGGTTGTGGGTTTGATTCCAGGTCAGAGTACACAAATAGGTTGCTGGTAGGGTCCCAGTTTGGGGTGTATATAATAGAAGGCAACCTAGCTATTTTCCTCTCACATCTATGATTCTCTCTCTCCCCCCCTTTTCCCCTCTCTCTCTAAAATCAATATAAATATCCTCAGGTCGGGATTAGAGAGGAAATAAAGAAATGAAGAAGGCAGTCAACTTTATAATAGGATCAAAAACAAAATATGCAGGATGAATTCAACGGCAAGGTGAAATGTCTGCACACTATAAGACAGTGATAAAAGAAAAGGAAGAAAAGTCAAATAAGTGCAAAGACAGCCACTGTTCTTGGATTTAAAATGTAATATTCTTAACATGTCTATATGACACAAATCAATCTACAGATAAAATGCAATTCTGGTGATAATTCCAATGGTATTTTACACACAAATAACAAAAGAATCTCGCGATGTATACGACTATCAAAAGACTGACTTCAGATAACAAAAGCAAATTTTGATCGCATCGCACTTCCTGACTTCAAAGTACAAGGCCACAGCAAACAAACTGTTATTAAAATGAACACAGACAAAAACAACACAACAGAAAACACAGAAATAAACACAGGCAGTGGTGTTCAACTAATCTGTGACAAAAAAACACAAGACATATGAGAAAGAAAAAATAGTATGCTTAGTAAATAGTGTTGGGGAAAATAGACATTCACATGTAAAACAAGAAAACGACACCACTGATAGAAATGAGCTCAATTTCATTAAAAATTCAGTGTTACTCCTAAAAATTAAAACTCCTTCACACCACCTAGAGAGGTTTTAGAGACTTGCTTTTGAAAAAAACCTATATAATTATTTTTAAAAGATTTTTACTTACTTTTATTCTCAAAAGAAGGGAAGACAGAAAGAAAGAGAGGGAGAGAAACACCAATTTGAGAAAGAAAAATCCATCTGCTGCCTCCCACACCCAAACAACTGGGACCCCGAATTGCAACCCAGGCATGTACCCTGACATCAAATCCAACAGGTGACCTTCCAGCTTGAAGGACTTAGCACCAGCAATCAGAGTGAAGATTTGTTTTTGAAACAGTCTTCTGAATGTGACAACCACCACCAGGCAAAAAAGCAAAGATAAACAATCTGGACTAAGACAAATGAAAAAGCTTCTTCACAGAACAGCACTTAACATAATGAAATGAAAAGGCAGCTCTGACCAGTGTGGCTCAGAGGGTTGGGCATCGTCCCTCGAAGCGAAAGGTGGACTGTTGGATTCTCTGTCAGGGTCTACAACGGGAGTGAGGGTTCAGTCCCTGATGGAGTCAGGAGAGGAGAAGGATCAGTATTTCTCTCTCACATCATTGTTTTTCTCCCTCCCTTCTCCTCTATCTAAAAATAAAAGTCAATATAATGTATTACTGCTACTACTACTAGTAATAACAAGAAAGAAAAAAGGTAAGTAGAACCTTTTTTCAGGATGGTAAAACATACTTGGACACCATATAAAAATATGGCTTGGAAATATTGGTGGTTCACATCAGAAAAAGTCACATAAATTTATGAAAGATGTTAACAAAGTAACACCTTGCTCTAAAAAACCACTCTACACAACTTAAATAAAAATAATTTATGCCCAAACAATGGTACCCGGCATTTCAGCCTGATGAAAAATGGGCAACAAAACACTTGCTGAATGCAGGCTTGCCATATTGAAATTATGAACATACTCTCTCTCTCTCTCTCTCTCTCTCTCTCTCTCTCTCTCACACACACACACACACACACACACACACACACAAAGCAATACCTGCAAAGCAAAATTAAACAAATGAGAAAACCTGTGTACTAGCAGGGGGAAAGTAATTAATATATAAAATGTACAAGGGATTGAAAAGACTCATTACCCAAAATTGTAGAGACAATTTTCCAAAATATGTACACACAAATGACAAACAAGATAGAACACACACTTTTTCTAACAACTCAAGGTGGTATTTATTAGTCTCCACGCAACACTACAAACCCCAGATCCTTCCCTGTGAGTTCTCTACAACAGGGACTGCTATTGCAGGGGCAGAAAAGAGTAGTGCAAACAAACCAGCCCTACCAAAGAAAGGAGCTGCTCAGAAAACCAGGAAATCGAGCAGTGCTTATAGTCCACGAATGAAAAGGGAGTACCCCCTAGAGAACAAGGGGCATAAGGAAATGCAATGCCTGGCCCACACCACTGGCAGAGTAAAGACATTACCCAGTGACGATTTAAGTTCAAAGTTCTCCAGCATCACATCCAGGTACAGGCATCTCTGACCTTCACTGAGGAGACGCCATTCTTCCCTGGAGAAGTACAGGGCAATGTCTGCAAAGGTCACACCAACCTGTCACAACGGAAACAAATGAATAAAGAGCTGTCTATCTGAGAATACCCGCCGCTCCCCGCCCCACCCCCACCCCAGCCAGGATATTACTTCTTACAAATCTTCCCCTCCCTGTATTTCGTTCAGGGCTCCCCAGGTCAGTGTGGACATCAGGCCCTAATGCCAATGCTCTCTCATCACGGTCCCATTAACTACTGTTAGCACGGTCAGCAACAGCAATGTGGTGAACCGCACACAAAGGTCATCGAAGCACTGGGCCACAAATACAGGCTCCCATCCTTCCTGCCACAGCCTCTCAGATCATGCCTATAAGAAACAGCCAAACATGAGCTTAGGATTCAGCCCCATATCCTCCCACCAGGGCCCACGATCTACAGCACGCACTTCCTCTAGGTGTGCACACCATTGTGCAAGGTCTGCCTCCTGCACGTCTTCACACCCCAGGTCCACGCCCTCAGTTCTGCCACCTTCCTGCTGCACACACCACGGGCATTTCTCCGGACTCATCCACGAACTAGGCTTACGGCAGCCAAAGAGTCCTTGAAATGTTCCAGCAGGATCCTGCACAACCCCAGTTTTCTGTTGGATCTCACAGCCCAGTAAAGACCCGAATTATTGGCTCTGAAGTCCACCCTGCCTCCTCTTTGCTTCAATAATCCTCACCGAGATCGGCGCGGGAGTCTCAGATACAAATAAGCCCTGTCCACTCTGCACTGTACTTGCTGTGTCCTCAGAAACCACAACCCTCCTCTCTCCGATGAGCCTTCGTCTCCGACCCACCCGCCAAGCTTGGGCTGCAGGGCGTCCGCACACGGGATGCGGGCTTCGCTGTGGTGAGGCGCTTGAGGTGGGTGGGGGGGTGTGAGGGGACACGCACTTACCTCAGCCGGGCGTCTCAGGGAGGCCGCCGACGCACTCTGGACTCTAGGCCCGGACACAGCGGTGGGAGAGGAGGCCGCCCCCGCCATGGCGACCCCGGTCTCGGCCCTGGCGCGGACCACCCGGGCATCATCATCTGCCTTTTTCCTCTCGGATGATCTTTGTAGACCGCGACTCTGGCTCCTTCCCCGCCTGGGCATCCTACCAGCACCCAGCGAACTGAACCTTCTGAACACGTAATTGACGGGAATCCGGCTGAAAGAATTTGCCCGCCACGAGGAGGACACCGGAAGTCCCGCCCCTGCAAGTGTGTTTCAAAGGAAATGACTTTCATTGCCCCGCCCCATTGGGTAGGCGGGGCTGTATTTCCTGCCCCTTATCCTGAGAACCAGGCTGGTGACCCTGTCTTTTCCTGCATTACTACAGTAGAAATGACTAAGACCCATCGCTAAAGGGGCTGGGAAATGCCAGGTCCCCACGAAGAACTCTTCTTGTATATGACTAAAGAAAGTCAATTTTTCCTGGTGAAGGGGCTGGAGTGCATGTTATTAAAACAAATTATCTGTGAGCCCAACACAGGAACTCATAATAAAAAAGGTATGCCTGCATTGCAGAGCATATTTACACAAATGACCTACTTACACCATCATATATGTATGTGACAAGTATAACACAAGGCTGTAGGACAAGACTTTGAAAGAAAAAAGACAATACATAATATAAACAGTAAATGGAATTCTATTGTTCATTTATAACTTGGACATCAATTTATCAGTTAAGATAATTTAAGTGAGAGAACTGAATTGTGACAGTGATTGGTGTCTTTGTTGATGTGTATATGCATTTGTATTTATCATAGTGAAAGAGAATTTGTTCTTTACTGACATTTAAGACTTGAGGTGAAATGATATCTCAGGCATTCTCAATGTTTCAGATTACAAACATATGTATACATAATACTTAGGGTAAAAATGTACATATTTATAATGAGAGTTGACCCATGTATAGTTCAGACACTTCAAAAATCACATGAACCATTATAAGTAACAAGTAATTATGGGTGTGCGTAAGTGCAATAGACATTAAATTTCATTATAATTAGGTAATAAATATTTCCTATTAAAAATTTCAGCATCTCTAGCTAGTGCGGCTCACCGGCTGAGTGCCAACCTGTGAACAAAAGGGTTGCTGGTTCCATTCCTAGTCAGGGCACATGCCTGGATTGAGAGCCAGGTCCCCAGTTGGGGATGTGCAACAGATAACCAGAGGCTGATGTTTCTCTTTCTCCCTCCCTTCGCCTCTCTCTAAAAATAAATAAATAATATCTTCCTTTTTTTCTTAAAGATTTTATTTATTTATTTTTAGAGAGAGGAGAAAGAGAGCGAGAAACATCAATGTGTGGTTGCTCCTTGTGTGCCTCCAACTGGGGACCTGGCCTGTAACCCAGGCATGTGCCCTGACTGGGAATCCAACTGGTGACCCTTTGTTTGGCGGGCCCATGCTCACTCCATTGAGCTACACCAGCCAGGGTAAAATAATCTCTCTTAAAAAAAGAACATTTCAGAGCATTTATGACACTGAAATAGAAACCACAATTTGAAATAATTGAACTAAGTAATGTACCAGAGTTGAGAAAAATCTAAAAACTTACCAGAAATTATAAAAGTCACTTGTACATGAATATAATCCCCAGCACCCTGGAAATGGCACAAAAATTGCAGGAGAGGCCTGACAGTGGTGACAAACTACTGGCATGGGAAGACTCTACAGTGTTTTCTTGTACATGAAACATCTTTCCCATTAAGTTGAATCCCTTTTCCCCTCCTTTAAATGTGTGTTCTTAAATTCCTCAGGATCCACATGCTTCTCACCCCAGAGTGCTGGTCAATTTATGTTTCCACATAACAGATCAGCTAACAATGTATTATTTCATGCAATATTTTCCTTTTGAATTGTTGGCTGCTCCTTCAATAAAGCTTTGGAACAACCCTAGTTGTGATCACATTTCTTTAATCACTACTGTATAACACATTCCTAGTTCAGCCTCTGAAGCAGTGAGATAATTAGTAAATGATTATGAAAGCAATGGAACATAATGCCATGGCTGTTTTCCACAATTCCAAGTTTGTCTCGTCACACCTTACTGTATCTTTCTCACCTTGCCTTTTCCCCTTAAAATTCTAATGACTACAAAGGATTCACACCTTAGAGAAATGAGACTTTCATGCTAGCCAAATTTCCAGCATAGCTATAGTTCAAGTAAACACTCCTATCTCTTAGAAGTCACTGTCCATTAATGACCACCCACCATTAATGAGGGGTGCCTGTTCTGGGAATAATTCTGCAGGCAGAGGTGGGAGTGGCCCAAATCTGGGCAGTTGCAGTCACATTCAGCACTGCGAATGCACACCTCAGCTCTTGACCTTCTCCATCAGGTTAGAAATAAAACATACCTTATACTCATTTTACAGACGAGAAAACTGAAGCCCAGAACCAGAAAAGGGGTCATTTTGGGAAGGAACAGGGAGAAGCTAGCAAAATTTCTGGGCTGGTGGAATTAGAAAACTGAGACCAAAAAAATTAAACAAGGCCCAATAGTTTGAGCAACCTATAGCCAGCTGGTAAGTCACAAGTACTTATCTCCCCTAACCAAGGACACAGAGGAAATGGTTTATGCCTCTCCTCCTTAACCAGAGAACACATGGTTTGAGTCAACACAGTCTGGGAAATACAGAACAGAGACATAAGTAGTGTGAAGTGTGCCAGCTAAAACACAAGGACAGATAAAGTCAGGTGAACAAATAATAAAAACCCTTTAAAAGCCACACAGAGCCATGATGCAAATGAAACAGTAGAGTAGGCCAAAGAATATTCCCTAACACGCACATGTGCTCATTTTGATGGATCATCATATTAATAATGCAAGGAGAGAGCTAATAAATATCTTCTCAACCCTCCCCTAAGATTCCTACCCACAGAAGGGAGATAAACAGCCCACAGTTTAATGAAGTGCAAAGCTAGAAGTTCCCCCAAATCCCCAAGCCCCCACAGCTATTGCTTCGAGGAGGGGGCAGCAGAGAGGGCCACTGTGAGTTACTTTGCATAGCTGAAGAATGTGGCCAGTGTTTTAGAAATGTTAAAGCCTGTGCCTGCTCAGAGCCAGGGAAAGGGGCCTGACTCTAACCCCTGATAAGATGTAGCTGGAGGGGATTGCTGTGCTTGTGAGAGCGCAGGAAAGTGGTTAGCTCCAATTCCCAGGGCCTTGCATGCCAGGACTATCAATGACAGCCAAGAAAGGCAGATATGACCAGACTGCTGGCAGGTGTAACCCTTTGTGGGAGGAGTTGGAAATGGAGTTACTGAGCAAGAGCCAGGCCATGATTTAAACCCAGGTACAGTGGCAGCCAGCAGTGTGCGCTCTCCCTCTCCCTCCCTTTGCCTCCTCTCCTCCCCGAATCCCCGCACCTCCTTGCCCCACCTCGCCCATCTAGAGCTCTGGACCATGAGGAAAGGAGAGTGAGACAGCCATGAGAGGTTCTTTTGTGTGTGCTCTTAACCATGAGTCTTGGGAGCAGAGACAGGATTCTTGGCCATGAGGTTTGAAAAGATGCAGAAGGATTCCCAGGGCCTACCATGAGGATGTGGTTTTGGATTAAGAGCAAGAGCCTAGCCAAGCACCGACCACTTTACAAAGCTGGAATACAGACAGGAATCAGCCAGGCTAAGCTAGACTGTGTCTTCCTGAGAGACCATGCTTCTGACTGGCCAGATTTGCTCAGTGGGGGGTGGGTACCGAACTATGCACTTGTGGGTGTCTCTTGTGTTTCTAAAGGGTGTGGGCCCTGGCTGGTGTGGCTCAGTGGATTGAATGCTGACCTGTGAACCAAAGGGTTGCCAGTTCAGTTCCTGGTCAGGGCATATGCAAGAGGCAACCACACATAGGTGCTTCTTTCCCTCTCTCCCTCCTTTCCCCTCTCTCTAAAAATAAATAAATATAATCTTTTAAAAAATTAAGGGAGTAAGATCTAACAGCAGAATTCCAATATTACTCTGAACATGTTTAACTTTTAAATGCATAGCTCCTTTCCTTTTCATAAGACTCTGGCTTTGGGAGTAACCGTTCTTATGGGTGTCAGGCAATAGAACCCAGATGTTCTGTTACAACAGAACAGAACTCAGAGCCAGCTCACACCACAGCATGCCCATGGCCTTCCACAGGCATGAACTTTTTACTTTCTTCTAAATTCTAAGGGTCCCCACAAGCTTTGCGGCCCAGGTAGCAGCAGAGATTAGCAGCTCGACCCAGGTTTACCCACTAATCCTGTCTCCATGGCCCCATTTTCTCTGACTTCCCAGTAGCTAACAGCAGCCCCACCTTGGCTCACTCCTTTCCTATAATGTTTTTAGGGAGCCAAAGCAGAGCCTCCCCACCTGGGCTCTCTTCTGTTACTTTTTCTACCCTAAATCCTTCCTTTGTTTCACTGCAACCAGCCTCTAAAAAACGTACTCTCAAAACCACCTGGACTCCCGATGTGAAATCTTTCCTACTCAAGGTCAAGAATCCATACACTACACGCTACTTTGTTTGAGACAGACCCGCTCTGAGCCATTTCCCCTACAGTAACATTCTGATGTCCAATGTGGGGCACTGGAGTTATATTTTCTCTTTTCTTGTCTTTCTCTCCCTCTTTAATTCATCCTCATGGCTCTTGTCATCCTTGTTGTGGAGGAAACCTACCTGTCAGCTGCAGAGTAAGTCCCTTGTCAAAACATCAGTGCTGAGACTGAAGGTAAGGCTGCCCTCAGGACATGGAGTCATCTCAACACATGACTGTCCGCAGGTGATACCTGGGAGAAGGGGTCCAGAGAGCCAGGAGTTGATCACCCCTGATGTCCAAAGGGATCCCTTACCATGCCCTTTGCTGGCCTGGGTTGAGTTTAGGATGAGTAGTAGACATACATGCCCACGGGGCAGACACACTTTCTGTTTGTGTTCCTCTCTGTGCCATTCTGGAATTGACACTCCTGCCTCAGTGGGGTGAATCCATTCCTGGGGCAACTAGCCAATGTCTCAGTTGACGAGAAAACCCACTTTCAGGGCATGAGGTAGACACGTCCATGAGACGACCACACACTTTCTCTTTGTATTTCTTTATCTGCTAGTGTGGAGTTGAGACCTCTGAGTGGGGTAAATCTATCCTCAGATAATGTAGCCCAGGTCATTGGTGAGGCCACCTGAGGGCAAATGGTAACCACGTCCACAGCACATTTCTCTGCTTGTTCTATAACTCACAGTCCTCT